TGATGAGAGAGAATCATTGATCAGCTGCCTCCTGCATGCCCCACACTGGGGATGGAGCCTGCAACCCAGGCATGTGCCCTTGACTGGGAATCGAACTGTGACCTCCTGGTTCATAGTTTGATGCTCAATCACTGAGCCACGCCGGCCGGGCTAGAGTCAACATTTAAATAACTCGCCTCACTTTCTTTGGTGGCATGTTCTGGAGTCATAGGGCAGCTGGGTTTTATGTCCGAAGCCAGGTGGGGCAAGTGGAGGTCCCGCCGGGGTAGTGGGGCTGCCCCCCCATCCCCACTCTCACCAGCTGAGTGCTCAGGCCGCTCCCATAGGAGAGAAGAGCCCAGTGGGGGCCGAGCAGGGCAGGCTGGTGCAGCAGGGGCTCAGCAGGGACTTGTTGCAGATGGTGGTGGCCTGGGGCACTGACCAGGTGGGGCGAGGCGGTGAGGCCGTCATTCTCGCAAAGGCAAACACCGACGTCGACATCCAGGCTTTTGAGATCGCCTTTTGTAATGAAACCAGGTAACTGGGCCTCCTGTCCTCCTGCAGTGCTGGGATGGGGGTCTGGCAGCCCATGGGCCTGGAGGGGGGTGAACCACTGAGCCTGCCTCCCCTTCCTCACTCAGGGCCCTCGTCCACAGCAGCCTCCTCTCCCCGTGGGGATTGGATAACTCACCCTCATACCCTTTCGCAGGATGGCGTCGTGCGGGCGGGGCAATGTGCGGCTGTGGCGGCTTCGCGGTGGGGGCCTGTGCTCCTGCCCTGTGGACCTGGGGGAGCATCACGCAGTCGAGTTCACGGACCTGGCCTTTGGGAAGGCCCAGGATGGCCACACGCTGTGAGTATTGCCCTTGTCCTCTAACCAGCCCGTCCCGTTCCGTCTGGCCCTTCGGCCCTCACCTGTTGCCTCTCCGGGCAGCTACGTTTGCAGCCGTAGTGGTCACATCCTGGAGATCGACCACCAGCGCATGGCTGTGCGGCGCGCTCGCTATCTCCTGCCCACGCAGACTCCCGGCAGCCCCCTCCCACAGAAGCAGGCCTTCAGCTTGGGTAGGTAGTCCCTGCTGTGGGGGCGGAGCAGCCCTGATGCTTCTGCTGACGCTGCCTGCCCTCCAGGCCCCGGCATCGCCATCAGCAGCCTCAGTGTCTCCCAGGCTGAGTGTGCGGTGGGCTCGGAGGACGGCTACCTGCGCCTCTGGCCTCTGGACTTCTCCTCTGTGCTCCTGGAGGCAGGTAGGACACGACAGTAGCTCGCCATCAGGGTCCAGCCCTGGGCTAGATGGCAGTCAGGGCTCTGAGAAGCTTCATCCTGACCCTGGGACCCACCATTGCTGAGCCAGGAGTGGGTGGCCACGGGGGAGCCGCCTGACCCCGTCCACAGGAAGACGGGGCTCTAGGCAGCAAGGAAACGAGTTTGTGTCTTGGGGGGCTGGGAGGGAGGTGCATCCTGGATGTGGCCAGCCTGCTCTGGTGCCAGCCCACCCTGCCTGGGAGGTCACTCACCACCCTGCCTGGGAGGTCACCCACCACCCTGCCTGAGAGGTCACCCACCACCCTGCCTGCAGAGCACGAGGGCCCCATCAGCTCAGTCCGACTCAGCCCTGATGGCTTCCGTGTGCTGTCCACCACCTCCTCGGGCCATCTGGGCTTACCACCACCCTGCCTGGGAGGTCACCCAGCCACCCTGCCCGCAGAGCACGAGGGCCCCATCAGCTCAGTCCGAATCAGCCCCGATGGCTTGCGTGTGCTGTCCACCACCTCCTCGGGCCATCTGGGCTTCCTGGACGTCCCCTCCCGGGAGTATAATGTGCTGGTGCGCTCCCACACTGCCCTGGTGCTGGCCCTCGCCACCGAGTGCAGCCGAGGACAGCTGGCCACCGTGTCCCAGGACCACACTGTCCGAGTCTGGGATCTGGCAACCCTGCAGCAGGTAGAGCACGGCCGGCGGGGAAAGACTGGAGAGCCACAGGCCATGCTGAGGCCTGGGGGGCAGGGCCCAGGCAGGTGGGGGGCTGGGGAGGACCCTTGGTGCACTTCGTCCTGTGGCCCGTGTTGGGGATCCTCCGGTTCAGGCCACCTGAGGAGAGACTAGCTCTCAGGTTCTCCTGGCCAGCTGGTAGCGACCACCCTGCCTGCCCTCACACGGCCCCCCCCTCCAGCTCTACGACTTCACGTCGCCCGAGGAAGCGCCGTGTGCAGTCGCCTTCCATCCCACGCAGCCAGTCTTCTTCTGCGGCTTCAGCAGTGGGGCTGTCCGCTCCTTCAGCCTGGAGGCCACCAGGGTCCTGGTGGAACACAGGTGGGTGCCCAGCGGGCCCCTGGCTCCACGGATGCCTATGGTGGATACTTGTGGGGTCCCCTGGGGTGTGTGGGTGGCCGGGCAGAGCAGGGGAGGCCTGTCTCCAGGAGCCTCCTGCTCTGCTGCCCCTGGGGGACTTGGTCAGGGATGGTCCAACGCAGGGCCAAGGCAGCGGGCATCCCTGTGTGGGCAGGTGTCACCAAGGAGCTATCACCGGCCTGGTTACCAGCCCCGATGGCAGCCTCTTGTTCAGTGCCTGCTCTCAGGGCACCCTGGCCCAGTACCACTGCACTGCCACTTGCTGCCGTGTCCTGCGTGTTACAGGTTAGACACCACCCCCACCCCCTCCCCCCGCACCTGCACAGCCCCACCGCAGCCTCCCAGCCTGCCCCTCATTGGGTTCCTGTGGGGGTGGGCTTGCCTGGTGTCCACTGCCAGCAGTAAGCTGCCTTCTGTGGCCTCACTACCTAGACGCCCAGGGCAAGTGTGGTTTTAGGACACACCGAGCCCTCCAAACAGAAGGCCTGCAAGGGTCTGTTTCTGCCCCACCCAGAAGGAGGTGAACAGCCTGAGCGCCAGGCTGGCAGAGGGTAGGCCCACCCAGGGTACCTGCCCCTCCCATGGCCAGTCAGATGGCCCCTTGGGGGGTCACGTGGCCCAGGGGAACCCCAGCTATATTCTGGCAGACCTGGGCCCTGGGTGTTTTGGCGCCCTGATGCTCAGGCCCCTGGGCTGGTTTCTGCACTTGTGGGCAGGTTTTGTGCCTGCTCTGGCCACCCCCTTCCCACCCGGCTGACCACCGGCCCCTGTGATTCCGGCAGCCAACGTGGTGTGCCGGGATGCCCTCCCAAGTCCCAACGCCTTGGCCGTCAGTGGGGACAACCGCTTGCTGGCCTTCATGGGTCCCTTTAAGTACATGGTGACCATCATGGACGCAGCCTCCCTGGATGATGTGAGTCAGCCAGAACCTTCCGTGTGCCCAATGTGGGCGGGCCTGCACCAGCCTGGCCGGCAGACCTCGTGGGTGTTTCAACTCTCGGCCACATGGCTCCCCTGGGTTCCGCCAGGGCTTCTCCTTGGCCCTGATGGAGTGCGACCCATCAAGGGAGCAGGTGGGAGGTCACACTCACTTCAGAGAGGACCTGGGCCCTGCTGCCCTCACTCACGGGCCCTGCTGCCCTCACTCACAGGCACAGAGGACATGGTGTGCCCAGGGCGGGCCAGCCAGGGGAGGGTGTGGGGCTTGCCCCAGGCTACCTGCCTCCTGTGCCCTGGCTCTGGGAGCGTCAGCTCTGCCCAGAGGCCATGGCTGATGACTAGTTGCTGCTCTCTCCCAGCTGCTACGGGTGGACGTCAGTGCCCTGGACCCGGCCAGCAGCGGCCTGGACTCGGCTGTGGCTGTCTGCTTCAGTCCCGCACCCCGTAGCCACCTGCTGGTGTCCTTGTCATCCAACAAGGTTGTGGTGCTAGACGCCATATCGGGCCGCTTGGTTCGAGAGGTGAGTCCGGGGCGGGGCCAGTGGCTTGGTGTCCCCTTGGCTCCCATCTTGGTGTCCCCGTGCCTGAGGAGGGGGTGCTGGGTCGCCTTCCACTCCTGAGAGGTGCATTTTTTGAGAAGGGAGGTTCCCGGGTTCAGGGGGCTCATGTGCTCCGATTGTCTCCCCACGAGAATGTTCTCTTGCAGTTTTGTGATGTGCACCCCGTGGCCTGCTCCGCCCTGGCTCTCAGCGGGGATGCCCGCTTGCTGCTGACAGCTGCCGACCGAGCCATCAAGGTGTGGGACTACTTAACGCAGTCCGACCCCAGCTGCCAGGTGGGTGCTGCACAGGACGTGGGTGGGTGTAGGCAGGCGGGTGAGGAGGAGGGTGGACGATGACCCAGGGGGCCTGACCCCACGGGGACCTCTTGCCCGGCCACCATTCTGGTCGGGCCTGGCTGTGGGAGAACAGTGGGGTCTCTGTATGTGAAATGTGCTGCCCTAGGTGTACATTGGCCACTCGGAGCCCGTGCAGGCTGTGGCCTTCACCCCTGACCAGCAGCATCTCCTCAGCGTGGGTGATGCCATCTTCCTCTGGGACATCCTGGCCTCCCCTGAGAGGTCGCCCCCAGAAAGGCAAGTGCCCTTGACCTGTATCTGCCAGGCCTCCTGCTGCACCCTCCCCACCTGACACCCTCTCTTGTTGCCTCTGCAGCGTCCCAGGCTCACCCGGGCCCCCCCCAACCTGTGAGGCTGTGAGTGGTCGCACCGCGGTGGAAGGTCTGTGGTGACATCTCGTGTTGGCACTGCAGCCACTGGGAGTGGCATGGTGCTGCTTCCGGTCCTGAGGGTCCCAGTGCATGAGGGGTGGGGGACTAGGCACCCCTCTCCCTCTGCGCTCTGTCCTCTTCAGTCCCTAAGCACAGCACAGCCTCTTCCATCCCCAGGTCCAAATGCAAGTCAGCAGGAGGATGCGCTGTCCGGGACCAATGGGCTCCCTCGGTGGCAGGTGCCCGTGCCATCCCAGGCAGCCCCACCCCAGCTGAGCATCTGTGCTGGGCCCTTAGATGGCGGTGATGGTAAGGCCAGCAGCCCCGGAGCACCTGGGCAGGCCTGTTTGTCGGCGTGTTTTGGTGCTGCTCCAGGTCTGTGGGGAGAGGGAGTGGTGTAGGGGGCCCTGTGCCCTCCTTTCACTGCCCCCCAACTTCCCTAGGCACTTCCTCTGTGTCAGATGAAGGACCCTCTGAGGAGAGCCACAGCCCTGAGGGGCTCTGCCAGGCCCCAGGCCGACCCGTGCTGGTGCAGAAGGAGGCCTGTGGGGCTGGAGACGGGGCCGCAGGGGGCCCTTGGGACCCCAGCGTGCTGCCCCACCCCCATGGCCAGCCTAGTAAGCAAGGTAGGGCAGGGATACTCATGACGGGGCTTGGGTCAGATGTAGGTACCCATGGGCCCCAGGTTGGGGTTCACCCCATGAGATGAGGCCTGCACTTAAAGGGCAAGTGGATCAGCCTGAGGCTGCTGTGAGGCCGGGCGCTGGGATGTGGCTCATATGCATCCTCTGACCCTGAGTGTTTCCTGGGTTGGGTGCTCTTGTCCAGCCGGGGCCAGGTGACTGTGTGAGGGAGGGGTCTCTGAATGGTTCCTCCTCTCTGCCAGGTGCCTGGAGCCTCAGGAGAGCCAGGACCCAGCCCACTGCCCGCCCGGACGCCTACAAACACTTCACAGCACGCTACAAAGCCTCCCTGATGGCCAAGGTTGTACGGGGGTGGGATCCTCACAGCCTCTGCCGCAGGTGGACACCCCAGAGGGACGGGGGTGAGGGTGGCACAGCCCTGTGGTTTCTGGGAGTGTCCCTTCTTCCTAATTCATGGGTTCCCCTGGGTCTCCCTGGCGCTGCTGCCAAAGTTGACAGCTGTGCAGGCCTTGACAGTGGTCACTTCATAGGTACCGTTTTACCGTGCACTTGTGCTTTCACTGTCACGCGGACACTCAGACCCTGTCCTGCTAAGCCCACTGTCTCCACCGGACGGTCCTGCCTCCTTGCGTGTCCTGTCCTTGAGGGCCCCTGGGTCTTGCTATCCCTGTCTGCCCTCCCCGGACTCCAGGGACTGCCCACATCTCCCACTCCTGCCTCCCTGTGTGCACCCCCAGCTTCCATCCCCAGTTGGCCTCTCATGTGTAGGCTTGTGGGCCCACGCTCTTTGTCCCATCCCGGGCATGTACCTCCCATAGCTTCGTCCCAGGCCCAGCCTGAAGGGACACAGCCTGAGGTGGCGGGGGGTGGGGTGGGGTGGCTGGGTGCTGTGCCACACGCAAGCATCCTGGACCACTTTCTCACAGAATGTTTCCTCCCCTCCTGCGGGGGGCGAGTGGCTGCACCTGAAGGCTGTTGTGGGCTACAACGGGAATGGGCGGGCCAACGTGATCTGGAGGCCAGACACAGGTAGGGACCACGACACCGCCCGCACTGCTCCCAGCCCAGAACCTGCAGGGAGGATGACAGGGCCACAGCAGACCAGCTCTGGGGCTCCCTCCCTGCTACAGGCTTCTTTGCCTACACCTGCGGCTGCCTGGTGGTAGTGGAGGACCTGCACTCCGGCTCCCAGCAGCACTGGCTCGGCCACTCCGAGGAGATCTCCACGCTGGCTCTCAGCCACGATGCCCAGGTGCTCCTCCCATGCCCAGGTGGTGGTATGCCTCCTGTAGGGCCTCCAGAGCAGCACAGAGGCCTCCACATCCACCCAGAGCCAGTACCCCCTGGACTGCCCCATCCCACTCACCACCTCCCCCTCGCCCACCCTGCCAGGTCCTGGCCTCTGCCTCCGGGAGTAGTGGTGCCGCCTCTGGCTGCCAGATCCGCATCTGGGATGTGCCTGGGGGTTCCTGCCAGCAGCTCCTTTCTCACCACTGCACCGCTGTGCAAGCCCTAGCCTTCTCGCTGGATGATCGGCTCCTTGTCACACTAGGTCGGCTGGGGGGAGGGGGTGTGCGGAGGGCAGTGGCCTCTGGACTCCCCTGCCTGTCCTGGGACTCCGGGGCAGCTGGTGTGACCACCATGCATCTCCCTAGGGGACTATGGTGACCGAACCCTGGCCCTGTGGAGCATGGCCACCTATGAGCTCGTTTCGTCTACCCACCTCCCAGAGCCGGTGCACGACATGGCCTTCAACCCCTGGGGTGCCGGGGAGCTCGCCTGTGTGGGCCAGGGCGCCCTCACCTTGTGGCTCCTGCAGCAGCGCGGGGCCGACATCAGCCTCCAGGTGCCCGGGTTCAGAGGCAGTCTTGGAGGATGGGTCCAGCCGGGCCCTGGGGCATTACTGACCCACACTGCCCTCGTGTCCCTCCAGGTGCACCGAGAGCCCATCCCCGAGACGGTGGGGGCGGGCGAGCTGACGTCCCTGTGCTATGGGGCCGAGCCGCTGCTGTACTGCGGCTCCAATGCCGGCCAGGTCTGTGTCTGGGACACGAGTGCCAGCCGTTGCTTCCTGGCCTGGGAGGCTGACGACGGTGAGATCGGTGGGTGCCTGAGGAGCCCCTGCGGGCCCCCCCCAACCCCCCCGCCAAGCTAGGGGCTTGGCCTCTCCCTGGGAGCCCCAGTGCTGGGGCAATAGGACCCTGTCGAGTCCTGGGCATCTGGGGAAGCAGCTCATGCCACATCTGCCTCCTAGGAGTGCTGCTGTGCTCGGGATCGCGGTTGGTCAGTGGCAGCAACACCAGGCGGCTGCGCCTGTGGGCCGTGGGAGCCGTGGCGGAGCTGAGGCGCAAGGGCTCCGGAGCCAGGTGAGCCTCCGCGTTAGCCGGCGTCCTTGACCAGGCTGTAAGCCAGCGCTCTTGCCAGCTGGGCCTGCCCTCTGTGGGGACCTGCTTGGGGGAGGCCAGAGCTCACGAACATGGGCGCACCCCAGAAGCACCAGGCTCCCTGGGCTCCCCTTGCCACCACTCGGGACCCTCTGCTTCCCCAGGTCCAGCTCTGTGTTCATGGAGCGCGAGCTGACCCTGGACGGGGCCGTCGTGAGCGCTGTCTTCCACGAGAGCATGGACATGGGTGTGGTGGGCACCACAGCGGGCACGCTCTGGTATGTCAGCTGGGCCGAGGGCACCAGTACCCGCCTCATCAGCGGCCACAGGAGCAAGGTGAGGCTGCTGGGCCCCCGGCTGTCCGTCAGATGTCTGAGGTGGTTTCCCCCCTGGTCGCAGGCAGGGCTGTGAGCCCCACAGTCACTCCCCGGTCTGTGTTGTGTCCCCCAACCCCCAGTTGTCGTTCCGAGTCAAGCCCAGCTGTGGGATTAGTTCACGCGTTGATAGTTCAGGTTTTCAGGATAAGGGTGCCCCACACTTAGAACTGCACATCGTCTTGTGTTGACACAGTCCACGCCATGTCCACTCGCGCCAGCACCACAGGCCCGGCCTCTTCTCCTTCCTCTTCCCTCTGTTGCCTTTTCCCTTGTAATTTACTTGGCAAAGAAACCAGGTCGTCCATCCCTGGGTGTCCACAGACCAGGGTTCGACCTGCCGTTCTGCTCCCACGTTCCCTGGGGTCCGAGAACCTGGAGGCTGCCAGAACCTGGTCAGGCTGGTCAGTCCCACAGCTCCTCCTGGGCGAGCTGTGTCCCACCAGGAAGCACGTGGGGCCGCTTGCCCTTCAGCGCTGCCCTTGTCCAGCGTGCCCGTCACCTCGGTGGAGTTGGGTTCGCTGAGGCAGAGTGGGACAGGAGCTGCGGGATCGCTGGTTCTCTCCCTTACGGACCAGGTTTCCAGGCGCGGGGCTGATTCTGCCAACAGCCAATGTGTTTCCTTCCCGAGTCTGTGAGAGCTGGTGGGTGTGCATGCGGCCGCCTCCCCGGGTCACTGCTCACGGAGCCCTGGCTTCGGCCAGTGACGGGTTCTTTGAGTTGGCGACCGAGTTCTTTTTTACATCTGTATGTATTTGTTGGGAAGTAATGACATCCATCGAAGAAATTAAGTTTGAGAGGAGTAAGGGTGATAGGCTTTTTCTATTTTTTGGTAACCGTTCTATACTGAGGTATAATTTACACGCCATACGCTTCAGCCATTCAAACCCCGTGGTTTTCAGTCTGTTCACAGACTTGTACAACTATCACGACAGCCCATTTCCGAGCATCTTCATCACCCCAACAGGAAACCCATGCCATCAAGCACTCGCCTCCCATCCCCTGACAGCCACTAACCGTGGTTTACCTGTTGTCAGCTTTCCACACAAACGGACACACGCCGTGCGGCCTCTCCGTCGGCTTCTCTCGCTGAGCCGCACGGCCTCCAGGTTCATCGGCGCAAGCGTGTGTCAGGGCTTCCCTCCTTATTGCCAAATACTGTCCCGTGGTGCAGGCGGGGCACACTGTGTGTGTCCACCCATCGGGGAAGAGCATTTGGGTCCTGAGCCTGGACCGAAGCCGAAGGTCCCTCTCACGTGGAGTGACAGAGTGCCCAGGCCCTCCCCCTGCAGCTCCCTCCAGCGGGCCCGTCATTTCTCAGCCAGACAGAGCTGAATTATTATTCTTAAAGATAAAATGCATCATGAGTTCATACTGATATTTGAGATTTAAATCCAGGACTAGGCCATTTTATTTTACCTCATTGGTGTATGGCGTCTGTATCCCCTTTTTCCCACACCCAAAATCCTGACTCGCAGTAGTCACACGCCTGCTTTCTCCCTCGGTGCACACGCGACAATCTCCGGAAAAGCCACGCCACCAGCACCGGTGGTGAGGCCCCTGCACTGGCCTGGAGTGTGTCTCGTGCTTTCTTTACCTTTAGTCTGCAGTCCTCCGGGGATGTGCTGTCCCATCACCACGTTTTATTTATTTTTTGTTGGCTTTTTTTTGTTAATCCTCACTCCCATTGGTTTTTAGAGTGATTGGAAGGGAGGGGGAGAGACGGAGAGAGAGAAACATCAATGTGAGAGAGACATCAACTGTTTGCCTCCTGCATGAGCCCTGACCCTGGCCGGGGATTGAGCCTGCAACCGAGGTACCTGCCCTTGACCTGAATTGAACCCAGGACCCTTCAGGCTGTGGGCTGACGCTCTGTCCACTGAGCCAAAATGGCGAGGGCCCTTCACCACGTTTCAGGTTCTTCCAGAACACTTCTCTGGCGTCCCAGTCGGGTTCAATGGCAGGTGGGCTCCTGACAACTTGAATTCCACCCAGGTCTTGTGTGGGGCACTCGGGAGGGAGGTGAGGACAGTTTCTTTACTCCACGTGGAGGTGACCATGGCCAGGCGGGCTTGGGAAGGAGACACATGGTCTCATAGGAATGACCTGGCCCCACTGTGTCCTGTGTCCGAGGGCCACGGGGCCTCAGGGCTGGCTGGCTACCTGCAGGTGAACGAGGTGGTCTTCAGCCCCAGCGAGTCCCACTGTGCCACGTGTGGAGACGATGGGAGTGTGCGGGTGTGGTCCTTGTCCAGCATGGAGCTGGTAATCCAGTTCCAGGTGCTGAACCAGGTATTCAGGGCAGTGTATGCCAGGGGCTGTGTGTGTGCGCGCGCTTGGGGTGGGACCCTGCCTCTCCACTGAAGGGCTCTGGGAGCTGCACCCTCCCTTCAGCCTCAGTGTCTGTCCTCGGCCTTGGGGTTGGGCCCCATCTTGCTCCCCAGGGGAGTGCTGATGTTTCCCCACTGGGGCCCCCAGAGTTGCCTCTGCTTGGCTTGGAGCCCCCCATCCTGTGGGCGCCCAGAACAGCAGCACATGGCGGCAGGTTACAGTGATGGCACGTTGCGTGTCTTCAACGTCTCTCGAATCTCCATGGAGCTCAAGATGCATCCACACCTGGCTGCGCTGACGGCCATCGCCTTCTCTGCTGACGGTGAGGGGATGGGGGCCCCCAGGGTGATCCCATGGCCCCTGCCTGGCCCAAGTCACACCTTTGGGCCGGGAGCTCACAAGGTAACAGTGGCTCCTGCCTGGCCCAGGTCAGACCATCATCTCTGGAGACAAGGACGGGCTTGTGGCTGTGAGCCAGCCACGCACAGGTCTGACCTTCCGTACACTGAGCGACCACCGGGGCGCTCCCATCTCTACCATCCAGAGCACGAGCAAGGAGGTGAAGTGGCCAGCAGGGCCTCATCTGGGGGTGCTGGCAGAGAAGGGGCTTGGGCAGAGTGGGGCAGGAGGTACTCACCTGCCCTTACCCGCCCAGAATGGAGCCTTCGGGGTGGAGGGCACAGACTTGTGGTTGGCCGCCAGCGGGGACCAGCGGGTCAGCATCTGGGCCTCCGACTGGCTGCGGGACTGCTGTGAGCTGGTGGACTGGCTGAGCTTCCCGGCACCGATCCTCACGGAGGTGAGGGTCCTGAGGGCACCTCGGGTGGGGTCGGTGCCTGCCCATCCTGCCACAGCACGTTGTGCCTTTCCTCAGGCTTCAGACTGCTCGCCACCCTCCCTCGCTGCCTTCTGTCCCTGGGATAGGACGCTGCTGGTGTGTGCAGGCCTCGGCCCCCATCCAGAGGCGGTCTTTTACAGCCTCTGCCTGAAGCAGGCATGTGCACGCCCCCCGTGACCCTGGGAGGGGAGGGTCCTGGGCCATGGGAACCGCTGCTAACTGCCCTGTGCTCGATGCCCACAGGTGGTGAAGAAGATCCCACTGCCTTTCTTTGCTGTGTCCCTGAGTCTGTCCCCCAGGGCCCACTTCATGGCCATTGGCTTTGCTGGTGAGTACTGGTGGGTGTGGACTCAGCCTATCTTAGTGGGGCTTAGGGGACTCACCTGTACCCCCACACTGAGACATGCCCCTCAAAGCTGCACCCTCATCTCTGAAGTGGGGTACTGAGTCCAGCACTAAATAGAGGGGCTCAGCGGCCCAGTTTGGGGCCTTAGAAGCCCCATGTTGTTAGACACCCTGACAGTGACGGGCTCTTTCTTGGCCGTGGGTGTGGGAGACAGGCCATTTAGCGCAGATTCTCTGGTGTTTCAGCATCCAGCTGGAGACAGCCAGGGTGGGTGGGGAACCCCTGGGCCCTGGAGTTGCAGGCATGGGCATAGGGCCCACCACATACCATTTGCCCACAGAGCGTGTGCTGAGGCTGGTGGACTGTGTGTCAGGGGCCGCGCAAGACTTTGCTGGCCACGACGACGCGGTACAGCTCTGTAGGTTTGCCCCGTCTGCCAGCCTGCTCTTCACGGCGGCCCACAACGAGATCTTGGTGTGGGAGGTCACACACTGCTGAGCTGCACTGGGGACCTTGGGGTCAGGTGTGCTGTCCCGGTCACACTGGGCACCTGGCCTGGGCAGGGGCTCTCCTGAGAAGCCGGGTTAGTGGAGAACCTCGTGCTAGGCCAGGGTGGCTGGGTGGGCGCAGTCCCTTCACACTGGATGGGCTCAGGACTCTCTGTATGTAAATCATCAAGACCCCAAACATGTGTAAAGTGCTTGTTGGCACCTGAGTGCTTTTCTATGTTTCTACCTGTACAGTTGAAATAAATGTGGGTGTTGCATTGTCGCATTGTCTGCTGGTCACTCCAGGCTCCTATGCCCTGGGCCTGGCTCTCCTGCCTGGCCTGAGATCAGCCTCTGCCCAAACCCCAGGCCTCCTGTTTCCTGTCCAGAACTGAGGCCCTGGCCAGTCCACCTGCAAGGGCGATCCTGCCCAGAGCGGGCTGGTCCTGGCCCAGCGGGAAACTGCTGGGGCTGAGTGGCACCCGAGGCCCAGGCCCCGC